TTTTTTTTTTCAGAACTTCAAACGGCTTTTCGGGGCAGCTCCGGTGTTCGTTTTTCACCCGTAAGATATCACCGCGACCGTCTCGACGAGACGAATCTAACGTTGTCCTTGAAATTGAGGTTCGAGCACAACTCAGAAACTCGAAATTTCTACAGAAGCTCGGAAAAATTCGAAAATAAACTCGAAAGCTTCAAACCAAGCTCTGATACCACTTGTTGTGGTATCATCCCAATATCATAAACATAATTTGAGAGAAAAACATGTTTCTATTACTTACAAGAATAAAAACAAGAGATTTACAAACTCTAAACAAAAAACTCTCAAACACTCCACAACTCTTTCTTGGTTGTGTTTCAACACTCTCAAGGTTGATTGATCACACTCTTGGATGATTCAAATGAATGAAATCAGAAGCCTATTTATAAATACAAGCAAGTACACCGTCGTTGACAATGGTGTGTGAATGAGGAGGGTTAGGTGGAGGTGGAGGACTAGTCTTCTTCTTCATTTGTGTGCTGAAAGAAGAACTTCTTCCTTGGTGTGCTATTTCTGGAAGACTTCTATCTTTGTGTGCTACAATATGATGCATGGAACTTTCAATAAATTGCTCTGCATTGTTCTTCAGTTGCTCCAACTTCCCATTCCCGGAAATTTTACCTTCTAAAATATCCTGATTGAATTTCATGTTGATATTCATACATATATTTTTTTTTCACATATAATCTATCATCATTCTAATATAATTTTCCTCCATTTAATGGTTGTAGAGATTGGAAGGTACCTTTGCGACAAGAACTTGAGCGCCGACAAATTTGTCGTTCCAAGAGAACATTTTTCTGGTGCCCCCATTATTTGGTGACTCTGAGATATAATAGAGGTATGCATTATCGTTGGTGGCCCTGTGAAGCCAGGCAGCAGCCCACAATAGTTCATCCTGAAGTGAGAACACAACGTTAGTTAATTAGGTATAGAATAACACGGTTCTGACACCAGGACAAAATATTATTTAAACCAACCCGTATATATAACAAAATATAATATCAAACATGCATCTTAATTACCTCGTAGCCACTGCTTGAATAGAATTGGGCAGCTACTGTTATGCTATTTTGGTACAGACCGGTATGTGTTGTTGCAAATTCGAATAACTGTTTAGCATGGGCGAGAAGCTGAGAAGAGTAGTTCGGGTTGAGAAAGCGAAAAGCAATGGCAGCAGAGGCAAAGGCGGCGGCAGTTTCACCGGCGAGGTCGGCCCCAGGGTGGTGCTCGTCAATCCTGTATACAATCCGTGGTGTGGTCATATCCTCCGACCTCTGCCAACATGCATGGTCCGACAAGCCGTCTCCCACCTCCCCATACAGCACATTCGCCTCCGGGTGGGCCTTTATCAGGTAGTCCGTACCCCATTTTATGGACGACAGTGCATTCCTAAGCTCACCCTCCGCCTCCAACTGCAACCCGTATTCCACCACACCCCATGAAAGCATCGTCACGGTGAAAGCCATCGGGAAACCAAATTTGACGTTATCACCACCGTCATAATATCCTCCCACAAGATTCACCCCGACATTCTGTAATATCCCGATATTTTATCGGTATAAATTACGCTTTAATTCCGATATAATAATGTTATCGTTTATTATTTTCGGAATTAATTATATTCAGTCGAGATTACCGAAATTGATTTTCGACGTACCGTTTACGTTCGGAATAATTTTGGTAATTAAGTATTATGTTTAATTAATAATTAAACATAAAGTCTAGTGATTAATTATTGATCAACCCTAAATCAATGTCCAAAGTCGTGGCTATATGTATAGCAATTCTCCCAATTTTAAGTACAAGTGCCGTAAGCTTCCTTAGCAAGAGGGAAAAGAATTTTCTCCCTTTCAAATTGTGCCACTTGTCACCTTAAGAAGATGCTTAGTCATCTATAAGCTTTCTCAATTAATAGCAAATGGCAAGAGTATAAACGGCCACATCTCTCATGCATCATCACTCCGTCCGTCGCACTAGTATAAAGAGGAGGGGATTGTGTGAATTTTTCCCCAATTTTCTCTAAGGCATAATAGCTTATTACTTCCTCTAAGCAACCAGCTCTATATCACCCTCTTTCAGTAGTCATTAAGTTCATCAATTTCCCTCAAATTCTCCAAAAATCACACGGCAAAGAATAGTATACACGCACGGCAAGCACAAAGCAAAGGAAGCACGCCTATTTTCCGAGTTCGGTCGAACAATCCGAGAGGTAATTCCTTCCTCCGGTTAGAATCATGTTAGTAAGTTGATTTCATGGTTAATTGTTCGGAGAATTTTTCGGGAAAAATCTTAAGAAATTCATGTTGAACTCGGTTAAGGGCATGTTCGTTCTATACCGAGTTAAGTTCAATTTTGTCCAGCAAGTTATGAGCAATTCTATTTCCTTTAGCTTCTAATTATAGTATCATTTTCAGTTGAGTAAGATTGGTCGGTAAAAGTTGGAGTTTTGTCGATCAATTGGCCAAAGCCGTCGCTCGCGCCTACCGCGTGTAGTCACGGCCGGCCGCAATTCATGTTTTG